CATAAGAACACATGCCAGATCGATCGCAGCAAAGTTACGGGTCGGAAACCAAGAATATCTTTGCTTGGGAAGTGGACCCTCCAAAGTTGATAATGACACTAGGAAACCAATGAGTACATTCAGATACTGAGCCCTCCAGAGAAGCGTAAAGCATTTCAGAGTAACGAGAGAACACTAATGGATACAACTCATTCATGATCCTAGACTGACCTGAAAAGCTTCCAGTGCTCGCCGACTGATGCCAGCATCTGCTTGGGTACATTGGCGTGCCGGGAGCATCTTCTTGAATACGTTCGAAACCCTGACCGCGATATTGAAGAAGCGTTTCCCCGTAACACCGAGTGTGAAGCAGACAAGCTTTCAGAGCGACGAAGCCCAGAGAAATAGTCTGCGCCTCCCATATATAGTCTCCTGGTGGATACTGTGTTCCTTCTGTGCTCTTGTACACCCTATACCGAAGATCGCGTTGAGCAAACTTCGAAGGCTTCTCTGCGAAGGAGCACCATCCATCGGTGACGGATCAATGTGTCCTGGGCATAATTGGGAAACGGCGACTAGATTGGCGGAGTGTGTTGGTTCTGGTATATGTACGTGCGATGTGTGTGGCATGGGAGGAAGGCGCGACGTGGGTAGCACGGTGGCTAGCCCGATGACACCGAGTGGGGCAGTGAGCTATAATACCAATGCATGTGTACTGCTGTGCCGTGCATTGTATGCAAGCTGCGACTAGGAAACAACAGGAGAATGGCACCGAAAGACATATTCATGTATTAGTAGGTGGATAGATACCATGCGTAATAACTGGACACGGTCTCAAAATGGTCTTCCTTTCCTTTTCCATTCACAAGAGGTCCACAAACCGTCAGCACTCCAATAGCATCACAACACAACCAAAGTAGGGTAGATGAGCCATCTTATCCATTAAGGACTTCCAAGAAAAAAGACTAAAAGTCCGTCCACCTCGACGAAAATGCCGTCCAGAGGCGCAATCAATAACCCAACGCCTCGCTCACACATGGGCTGACAAAAGTCAAGCCGAACCTCCATCATTCCATTAATGGTACCCCGGGCGACCCTCCCTTCCCTACGCTCTCAGTATCCGGATGTTTTGGTGATCGAGCCCGTACAAATGAGTAGAGAAGAATAAACGCCAATCTATGCAATGTTCTTGGTCTAGACAACCATTTTTTCGAGTGAAGATATTCCGACTCTTCCGTGCTCAAATGAGGCCGGTCCGTCGTGCAAGCTCCAAAGCTTCTAGTATGATGGACAACTTTGGTTGCCTTTCCTAAGACCCCCAAGCGTTTGCGCCTGCCATAGCTGGGTGCATGGGCATGTGTCCACCATTCCCGTACTTTTCTTGTATGCTCTGCAGCTGCTGCGCTGTTGTCGGGGTAGTGCCCCAGCGCTGCGGCTGCGGAGGACCCTGGCCTGGTGGAACGGGAATGGCATCAACGCTTCGCAGCAGAGCTACCAGACCATCAGCCTTGAAGCGCGTCTCCTTGTATGTGCTTGCAGGAGGAATGATGCCGAGGAGGAAGTTGACCCCACGAGGCAGAGGTGGCGGGCCGGGAGCCTGGCCAACAGGTGTAGCGCCGGTGGTGGCTAGGTTGCGGCGTGCAGCATCGAGACGGCGACCCGCTGCGCCCTTGAGAGGTGACTCGCCCCTAATGAGCTTGCGAGGCTGCCCACCGTCGTCCGCGTCATCGAGAGGGCGCTTTGGTGAGTTCGTGACAGGCATGAGGTTGCCGAGGTGCTGGGAGTTTGCAATGCCAGGAGACGCGAGGCGCTGTTGTTCGGCTACGATTTGGGGTGGTAGCGCAGGCATCGGTTGCTGCTGCTGCTGCTGCTGCTGTTGCTGTTGCTCTTCAATAGAGGGCATAACCGAGGGCATGGCCGCGGGCATGACGGGCTTCATCTGTGTGCGAGGCGAGATGATGTGACGGACGGAGATGGGGTCGAAGGTCTGGGTTGCGAAGCGCTGTGAGAAGCGGTGCAGCTGGGGATCTTCAGGGAAGAGAGTTGCCATGCGCTGCTCAAGCTTTGTGATCTGGGCCAGCTCGCCGAACTGGGCTTCGTAATCATGGAAGAAGGCAAAAAGCGACTTAGCCCTATGAACAGTCTCAGGCTTGGCCGTGAGCTTCCCGACGACTGTCTCGAAGACAGCACGAGCATCTGAAAATGTTAGTAGGGGACTGTAATGCGAAGACCTGGTCACCTACTGGTAGAGTCATTGAGCTTGATGAGATGCTTAATGTACTCCAATGCAAACTGCTCATCCTCGGGGAACAGCTTCATGCCACGCTCAAAAATCTTCTGTGCAGCTGGTTCCTGGTAGCAGTGGTGCTCAATGAGCGCACTGGCAACGTAGGCTTCACTGAGTAGCTTGCCCTTCTTGCGAGCCTCAGTGAAGATGCCACGGAAGCCACCAATCTCGCCTCTGGGATCTCCTTTGCCCTGAACACGGCGCATAGCCCGCATGAGAGCTATCCATGTGTACGTGAGTGTCTTCTTGAGGTTTTGTGTTTGCGCATTGTATCCGGCAGACATGGCCTGGAGTTGAAGGGCGAAAGCGTCCTCTTTCTCCTTTAAGCGACGCGCAGCAACGACTTCATCTTCGTCGTCAGCGTCCTCATTTTGTTGTGCGATTGCACGGGCAGCTTCATCGGCAGCCTTCTGTGCCTCGAACTGCTCTTTCGCACGGGAGATGGAGTGTTCCTCTCGCTTCTTGACCTGTGCTGTGAGATCGTAGATGGTGTCAAGAAGCCTCTGGTATGGCTCTCGTACAGCCTTGCCCTTGGCGACGATACCCGCTTGACCGTCTTCGAAGTCGGTGCGTTGCTCGACCTGGTTGGCCTTCTTGAAGGCGAGGAGGCAGCTCTCAGGGTTCGCCTCCATGCCGTCGCTGAGGAACTTGTCGCCTTCAGCTTGGATGTTGTTCTCGTAACACCACTCAGCTGCTTCGTACCACAACTCTGGCCAGAAGCGGAGGGCCATGAGCGCATTCTTGTACAGGTGAAGTACACGCTTATTGTACAGCTCCCGGTTGTCTGTGGCGCACTCAAGTGGATCACTCTTCTCCCACTGGATCCAGTTCTTCCATAGCTTCACCTGGTTCATGTACTCCTCGTAGCCATCGAAACCGGCGGCGGGTGGCAGCTTGGGTAGTGTGGTTCGGTTGACACCCCTTGTAATGTTGTTGTCTAGGACGTTGATGGCGCTGCGTGCAGTCATGTAGGCGGGTGACGTTTCTTGGAGTTGTTTACGGCCCTGTCACCGATGTTAGCCTTGTAAATACAAGGGACTGGATGCAATGAGGCTTACCGTAACCTTGTTCAGACTCGTCTCGAACCTGTCGTAGTCTCGCCAGATCTCTAGTGTCGCGTTGTGTGGTACTGAAACAGCGCGTTGATATACCTTGCGCAGGGTATCCATCTTCTGCATGTCCTGCCAGCTGCTGCCACCAAGAACACCTGGCCCGGATTTGAGCATCTCGATGTAGTCAAGCCAAAGCTTTCCAGCATGAACATCCAGACCGACCGAAGTGAGGACGAACTCATAAGCTTGTGTGACGGTCTGGCGGTTCTGCCCATTTTGGTCAGTGGTGAGGTTAAAGCGGCGACGGATGAAGTCGATGTAAGCAGAGTAGATGCCGAGCCATTGCGCTGAAGGAATAGAGCGACCGAAAAGGTGCTCGACCCTTGGCAGCTCGTCAAGCTCAGTCTCAAAGGCAATGTACTCGACCCATTGCTCGCCCTAGACATGTTAGTACATCACATGAGATATCGACAGTCCTGCTTACTGATGAAGGGAAGATCTTGAAGAAGCGCTCAAAGACAGCTCGAGCATCGTCGTGCTTGTGTCGCCTACGGTGCTCCTCAATTAGACTCAACCACGCTTCGATGTCACCACGCGGATCTTCAGCAATGCGATCTTCGAGAATACCCACTCGGTCCTGAGGAAGACGAGCCTTTGGTAGAGAAGCAGACATAGGAGCTGGAGTAGCTGGGGCTACAGACGGGCGTGCCGAAGCAGCAGTCATGACGTCGGGAGCACCTGGCTTAGTAGCGTCTGCAACAGGTGTACTGCCGTTAGGAAGAGAAGCAACAGAGGGAGCAGGCTCATTGACAGCGACAGAAGCAGAGATGGAAGCGGGAGCCTGATCTTGTGCACTATGTAACTGTACATCTGGGTTTGGGAGTGTATTGTTTGGAGAGTTTGTAAAAGATGGCTGGGGAGTCTCTGAAGCTCCAGTAGCACTCAGTGTAGCATTCGCCTCTTGCGGCTGCACAGCGGGCTCCTCTTCCTCGTCCTCACTCTCGTCGACAAAACCACCCACAGTGCGCGGTCGCTTAGACGGCGGCGCTGCGGAGCCTTCTGTGGAGGTCTGAGTAGGCTGAGGCTGCACCCCATTCTCGCCCTCGGCGTCGGCGGCCGGTGGTGAGTTTGCGCCAGACTCTGGCTGCATCGATGCCGACTGGTAGGACTGCGGCGAGTATGTGGCGGCCGGGTCATACTCGTCCTGTCCGGCGGCAGCGTCGGGCATGGTGTAACCGGCTGAAGGGTCGTATTCGTCCTTTTGCGCTTCGAGGAAGGCGAGCTCAGCGTCGTCCGCCATGACTGTGGGTGGGTGAGAGCTGTGGTGGGCTGTCAGAATTGATTGCGAAGTAATGTTAGGCGTTGTATTACGATATGCTCAGGCGCGGGAGTGTCGTGGACAATGGATGTCTTTGTCGCGTGGTTAGTGTCTAGAAGGAGCGTCGAGGGTGCGCGCGAAAGCGAGAGGCGCGATGGAGTTCTCCACGGTGCGTTTGGCAGGTGCAAAGGTCGCGCGGATAGCTTCCAAGATGCGCACGGAGGTGGAGATGATGCGCCGTTCGCCGTGGTTGAGCTGGGTGGGCGCGTTGTCGTGAGAGGAGCAAAGGTTGCGAGTCGGCGTTGCGGGCTTGCTCTCGGTGGAGCCTGTCAGCCTCGTTCTTGGCGCTAGCTCAGACGGCGATGTCATCGCTCAGGTACCGAACACATAGCCATCACTCACCGAACCACCGGACGATTTACGCGCCCCTTCAACAATGGAAGTCTGGGACCCGCGGTGACACCAATACCTGACGCACATTCGAAGTTCTCTATTTCCGGCGTCGCGCCTTCACTCAACAGCTGCCTATAGACGGCCACCACCTCACAAAGCCCGACAACATGAATCCGCACATATCGCTCCCAAGGCCGACGGGCGGACCTTCAAACTTTGGATCTACCCCATCGACACGACGGAATGAGGTCAAGATGCCGCGCTTCTTCAAGCGCATGTTTAAATTCCCCCAGATGGACTTTGAAATGGCCATATGGGAGATCATGAGCCTAATAATAGCACCCAAGAAGGTGTTTCGACAGATCTATTACCATGTATGCACACCTGGTCTCTGCCGGAAAATGTATAATTAACAGCATGTAGAAACAAACCACCAAGACATACCACCGCCCCGACCCGTCGTTTACATACCTACTCTCCTTCTTCCTGACCCTCACATCACTTGCATGGGGCTTCGCATACGCCGATGGCTTTACACAGACCCTTCATATAACTATGGTCTTCATATTCGGGCACTTCCTGCTGCTTTCGCTATTGATAGCGACGCTGTTCTTCTTCCTAGTCGGCCGATTGTTAGGCCCGGATAACACACTGCTACCTGGACGAAGGAGAGGACTATACAACCTAGGAGAAGACTCGGGTAAGGAAGAGCTCGAGTTTGGATATTGCTGGGATGTAGCCATCCGGGCCTTTGTGCCGGTTTGGGTTTTCCTTTACGTTGTGCAATTCCTGTGCATGCCACTGATAGGCACACACCATTGGTGAGTCCTAAATTTACGGGATCAGAATATGCGCTGACATGACTAGGTTCTCGCTACTTCTTTCGAACACGCTCTACCTCGCGGCGCTGAACTACTACTTCATCATCACTTTCTTGGGCTACAAGGAACTTCCCTTTCTCCACCATACTGAGCTCCTACTCGTCCCGGTCGCTGTTATGGCGATATTGTGGTTTGTGTCGCTGTTCAGCTTCAACATGTCGACACACTTTGCGCCGGTATTATGGACGGGGGCCAAGTTACGGAAACACGTCTGAGACCATATAGAGGTGAGGACATAAAAGGATGCGTAGATGCAACAGAAAGTGTCAAGGCGTCATAGCATAATGATGCATAGGATAGTGACGAATGCATCAGAGTACCTCAACTTCGGTTTCAGTAATGATTATCCAAGTCACGAGTGTGTGTGTGTGGTGGCAGATTGGTTGCTGCATTATGCTCCACTATTGCATACACGGGGTAATTGATAGTTACATATTCATACGTCTACATATATACACGAAGAAGGGTATTTACCAAACCCTCAACCCCGACCACTCCACGCTATTACATGTATATAGTATACACTATCTTACAAGTTCCTCTTCTCAAACTTCTCTTCATAACACTGAATGCGATCACCCACCTTGAAGTCTTCCCAGCCTTCAAATGAGATACCGCACTCGGTATCCTTGCGCATCTGCTCGACATCTTTCTTCTGGTTCTTGAGCGACTCAATCACGCCTAATAAGTCCCATTAGTATACATTTCATTCGCACACCGTCATGGGGAATGACTTACCATCATGAACAATATTGTCGCTGCGGAGTACCCTAGCCTTGGTACCCCTATCGACAACACCGTTCCTGACTTTACTTCCTGCAACCTTCATCTTCTTCCTGCCACCGAGGCCAATCTCGAAGACTGCTGCGATTTCTACTTCACCCGTCACCTTCTGGATAACCTTTGGTGCGAGCTTCTCGGATAGCAAGTCCTTGACGTTTTCGACTACACGGTAGATGATGTTGCTGTCGAGGATTCTGACGCCCTTTTCTTCGGCTAGTTTGGCGACGTGTCCAGGAATTGTGGTGTTGAAGTTGATGATATGTCCCTTTGCGTCGGCGGCGTGCGAGATGTCGAATTCGGAGGGTGCGCCGACACCGTGGCGGAGGATGCGCGTGGATACCTCTGCGTTGCCAAGTGCAGAGACTGAGTCGATGACTGCTTCAACAGAACCAGATACGTCTCCCTTGATGATGAAGGAGACAACTTCGGGCCCAGCCTCTTTTTTCTCGGCGACTTCAGCTTCTTCGCCATTCTCGAGAGCCTTAGCAGCTGCCTCTTCGGCCGCACGACGCTCAGCTTCTAAGCGGCGAGACTCGTTGATGGCTTCCATATCACGCGCCATCTGCTCTCTGTCGACCTTCTCGCTGCGAAGATCAGTTACCGAGCTCGCGTGCTGTTCATCCTCTGCTTGCAGCACTTCGTCGCCAGCGATGGGTTGATCACGCCAGCCGTCGATCTCAACAGCCATGCCAGGTCCGACTTCTTTAACGACAGCACCAGCCTCGTTGCGCAGGGTACGCACGCGTGTCCAGGTAGTTCCTGCGACAAGCGTTGTTCCTTGGCGAAGGGTACCACTGCGGACCAGAACGGTAGCCACACGTCCAGATTTCTTTGTGGTACCCTCGAGAACCCATCCTTCAACGGCAGTTGCAGGATCAGCGCGGTGGTCCAACATCTCTGATAGTGTTGAAATGGCTTCTTCCAGGTCGGGAATACCCTGTCCGGTCTTTCCACTAACACAGACAGCCTGTATGTCACCGCCAAAGTCCTCAATCTCGATACCGTGACGGCCGAGATCAAGCTTGACAGCATCTGGGTCAGCTTGCGCCTTGTCGATCTTATTAATGGCGACGATCAATGGCACATTCGCCGCTTGTGCGTGCTTGATCGCCTCGACAGTCTGGGGCATGACAGAATCATCCGCAGCAACGACTAAGACGACGATGTCGGTAACGTTGGCTCCACGAGCGCGCATCGTCTCAAATGCGGAATGACCGGGTGTATCGAGGAATGTGATCTTCTTTCCGTTTGCCAGTGGCACGCTGAACGCACCAATGTGCTGTGTGATGCCGCCAAACTCGGTAGCCGCCACACTGGTCGAACGCATATAGTCGAGAATAGTCGTCTTGCCGTGATCAACATGACCCATGATGGTGACAACGGGTGGTCGTGCAGGAAGCTCAGCGTAAGCCTCAGGCTCAAGAGGTGCGGCGGGATAGAGGTCGCCATCATCTTCTTGTGCCTGGAAGATGGGTTCAAAGTTGTACTCCTGCGCGATAAGGCCAGCATGCTCCGAGTTTAGAATGTGGTCATTCTGCACATCCTCGAACCCTAGCTCTTCCAACTTTCGCACAAAGTCCTCCACTCTCAACTTGAGGGCGCCCGCAAGGTTGGCCACACTGATGTATTCCGGCAAGGAGATCGGTACAGGGCCGGCCTTTGCCGATTGCGCTGCCTTCTTCGCCTCAGCCCGTAACCGCTTGCGTTCTTGCTTGCTGATGTGTGGCCGGTCTTCATCCTCCTCCTCGTCCCGTTGTATGCGTCGGCTCCTGCCCTTGTTCCCGCCCTGCCTCCGCGCGGGCTCTTCATATCGGTTCTTGGACTCTTCCAGCTCGTCAAAGGCAAAGCGACTTCGTCTTCTCTCGCTCTCCACGTCGTTGCGTCGCCTGTTATCCTCTTCTATCTGCCATCGTGCCGACTGTTCGATGTCCAAATTGCCCTTCGACTTCTGCACCCAGGCTTCTGCAGCATCCGATATCGATTCCTTGTAACGTTGTGGTGGTGTATACATGGCCGTTTTCTGTGCTGGCTGTTCCTGCCGTTGAGGCACGCGGAGTACCGGCTTCGTTGGGCACATATTGCTCGCGTGCTCCTTTGATCCACAGTGGAAACATGTCCTCTGCGCGTTCATGTCCCTTGCAAGTGGTGTGTAGGGCTTCGAGGAGTTTGAAGCCGCGTTACCCAATAACTTTGATATCTCGTCTTGATCCAGCATCTTTCTTTGTGGTGCAGGTCTGGGAGCCTGCGGTGCTCTTCGGTCGTCTAATCCGAACGGGGAGCGTTCGGGCTGTGGGTCGTTTCGCCGTCTAAGGTGACCAGAGGCAAATGCTGGGGTGTTGACCTGTGGTCTTGAGTCCATGTTGACGTTGTAGCGATTCTGTGGTGGAGGCCGGTAGTCATTGCCACGCTCGTTGCCGGCCGTCCTGCGCATGCCAGGTGCAAATCGGTCTCTGCTCTGGTTCCGCCCCGGCCCATCGAAAGGGCCGCCTCTGTTCATTGCGCGCCGCTCTGGTGGGAATTGCCGTGATGCTTGGGATGGAGGTGGCGACGTGAATCCTCCTTGTGAATGCGGCTGAGGGGCGCTGGCGGCCAGCGCCTGCCGCATGCGCTGTGCCTGCGACATTGGCTCCCTGCGCTCATTGGCATCTTTGTATAGGATAGCCTCGGCCGATTGCGGGGCTCTGTTGGACGAGTTGAGTTGTCGCCGTTGTGTAGCGTCGGATGATGTAGTGAGCGTATTCGAGATGGCCAATTGACGAGTGGCGCAAAAGATGCACACGTCGCGGGTAGAAGAAGCCTGCCACTGTCAGTCAAGGTACTTTTATCGATGATTGGCTTTTGCTTTTCCTCACCCGAAGTCCACGCGCTCTCCGCATATTGGGCGATGTGGTACGTGTTGGTTTCGAAGATGTTGGAGTACATCAAAAGTTTGGAAATGTCCCGCCGACGGATCCTTGCCTCGCTCGTCGGTCCTAGCGCAGCGCCACAATCTAGAGACTGGCCACGCTCTTCAGATGCACGCTCCGACTTGGATTCATTTATCCTGACACGAAGCTTTCGACAATGAATACTACAATGGCCTAGGTGGGCATTGCAGTCGGCCGCAACGCAATACACTACCAGATGATCTTATACTTGCTCAACTTCAGAAGCATCAGGATACTTAGTGCAGTTTCGTCACCGCGTTCAACAGAGGAATGGAAGAATAGAGTCTCATAACTAAAGTCAAGAACTTATGTACAGCCGGTTTACTCCTTGGCTTCCTTCAACCTTAGCTTAACACCATCCGCGGGGCAAGTCGTTAAGCTCAGCCCGTTCCTAACATATCCCATGCCACCCTTCTCCGTTGGCTCCCAAGTGTTGCCAACCCCCTCGATGGCCTCAAATCTCTGCATCAACCTTACAACGACGTATCCGGCTTCTGTCAGGGCAAATTGCTGTCCGATGCAAATCCTTGGGCCGCCGTTGAAAGGAAGATACTCCCACCCACTCTTCCTTCCATTCCAGCGCTCGGGTCGGAATTCCTCAGCGTCAGGGCCCCACAGATCAGCACGACGGTGCATGACGTATACACTGTAGTCTATTTGCATTCCCTCCTTCACGTATAGGGGTGCTGTGCCGTCTGGACCGCCGCCCACGGGCAGGGTAGAATCTTTGAGGGCGCGGCGGCCGTCGATAGGGACTACTGGGTAAAGACGCAGAGTCTCATTCAAAACCCACTGCAGATAGTTGCACGACTTCAGCGACTCGAATGTTATGTCTTTGGGGTTGGAATAGGTGCCGAAAGTCTCCAAGACGACGCTGCGCAGGGCCTTGTAGACATCCTTGTGCTCTGAGAGGAGCATGAAGACGTATGACAGTAGCGATGCGGTGGTGTCACGACCGGCTAGTAGAATTGATATCAGGTGTTCGCGAAGCTCGATGGGGTTGCGGGTCGACTCTGCAAGTGCATCGAGGAAGACGTATCTCTGCTTGCCATGTGACTTCTCCTGGGTAGTGCCCTTCTCCTTCGATAGCGCGATTTGGACGTAGTGATCAATGAACTCGTGGCAGCGTTTGCAGTGGTCTCTAAACGTCTTGTCATATACGAGCCAGTAGGCCTCTCCAAGTCGGCTGGCTGCTGCGATGGTGTTCTGCGCCTGGTCGAAGGAGGTGGCAAAGTCATGTTCGTTCACAGTCATTGGGGGCTTACTGGACTTGTAGTCGGGTAGTGATGCAAGCTGAGAGTCAACGCTCTCGCCAAAAAGGAACTCTGTGGCGCTGTCGAGGGTCAGGCGGAAGAAAAGCGGCTTGAGGTCCGTGACATTTGTCCAGCCGTCTGAGTTGGTAGGTAGTACCCGCATCATGTTCTTCATATGTTCTTCTTCGAGGTCCAAATCGCTGACTTGGTCTCGAGCGAACTGGGGCCGAAGTAGTGACCTTGCATGTGCCCATTGCTCACCGTCGCTAGAAAACTGCTTCGTGTCAGCATCTGATGTTCTCGTAGCGTTGCTAACAATGGTACTTACGATGCCACGGCCGAGTAGTGGAGAAAAGTTGCCGTTTCGCCTTTCTCCTAGTCCGTAGTCCTTGAATTGCGTGGCCAGTATAGCCTGGATGTTTCTCGGTTCAATTGTGAAGTAACCCTCTACACCCATTATTTTTTGATGGAATGTGTTGATAATTTTGCTTTCTTTCGCACAGGCAGTATCAATGCGGTCTTTCAAGTATTGCGGTACACGGTATTGTTTGTCCGCCTTGATTATTTTGGCAACGTTCTGGAGTCCCAAGGGATCGAATGCAGACTGCGAAGTAGGATGGGCAGGCAAGCAGCCCAACTGACGTGCTCTAGCAGCATGGCGGCGGTAGATGATAAACGAGGAGATGAGCTTGTAGAGAACAAAAGAAATGCCGGCCCAGGCGGCTAAGAGGATGGAGTTGTGCATGTTGCAAACAAGACTCTGCGGGGCGGGGTGAACACGCAGTCGTAGCAGGGTTTGTATGTTGGTGAGAAGCAACTTCTCGAGAAGAACTGACCCGTTTAAGTATCTAGGTATAGAACTCGATCGCACTACGCCCGTCACGAATGCACCAGGGTCCGTTTGGCGCCTCCGCTACAATAGCCATACACGTAACCTGTCGCAAGGGTAAAGAGGAACCAGACCCACGCGGCGTGCAATATTCACGGCCGCTAGCTCTTCGGAATCGTGTTTGCCCCCTGCTCGCGAACGGGTGCGGATAGTTATGGCCTCCGAGTCCGTTTTCCAGTACTACAGCCAAGTAATCCGTTTTGAGTTTACTGGGACTACTGTCCATATAGTTGCCACGCGTTCCCCGCATTTTGTTCGGACATCTTGGCTCTGGCGAAGTTGTACTTTGTACTCGGACGAATCCTGCCCATTCTCGCGTGCAACACGCCTCGGTAATTATGGCTGTGCGTGCGACCGTTAGGTCGGAGCCTGGAGAGCTAAGACGCACCTGGGCATGTAAGGTTCGCTTAGGAGTCAAGTGTCATTGATAGAACGAATCCACTTTCAGCGATTTCCGTTGATTCGTGTGTCTGGACACCTATCTTGTACGGGAACTCGCAGCAGCAGTGATCGTGAATGTATGCAAGAGGGAGCGTGCAGTCTGCAGGCGTGCGAGTACTGCGCGCATCTGACTGCCAAGGAATCCGAAGCTGGTGGAACTTGCGAGATGCCACCAGGCAGACAGGCCGTTCTCGACGCGTGGTTGCTTGTTCCCGATGAGGAGAGGTCTTTGATACCCGATAACGCCTAGGCAGCCATCGCAGCATTCTTCGATATACAGCGTTAAGTAGCTCGGCCTTGTCTCAGCAGTTCGATCGTGGACTTCCCTCTTTTTTTCGCTGCCTGTAGTCTCCTCCGCTTTGACGAGCTGCCAATTCGGGCGGTGCAGGCTGCCCAGTGTCCTTTGTCGCGCACATACCACGTGAAGATGTTCTGTTAGCAAAGTAGAAGGTCACAACAGTGTCGCAGGACGCTGAAGTCATGACAATCTCCAGTCTTATGTGCACGTCGGATGCTGAACCCCAACGCGGTCTAGCGACGCCGGAATAGTTCCGTGAGTTGCTCCAGTCGTGACTCCCTCACTCCAACGGTGGTAAGAACGACCACTCTACCTAGGTAACCGTGGATTGGCTGAAGCTGCGAGTCACACAAGAATCCTCAGGCGCGATGTGAAAGACGCCTGGAAACTATAGATAGCCGACTTTGGTGGCCACAACGCCACCTCGCGCACACATCCTGCACCATAGCCCATCGCACAACGCACCTCAGCCTTTGAAGGTTCTATTTGAGCCACACGACCATGGACGCTGGTTGGGATGAGTTGGAGCGCATGGCGCATGCGGCATCAGCCTCTGACGCCCAAATTGCCTCCCAATACCCGGCACAGGAAAGTATAGAGCGCTGGATGCGACTCTTCGGATATTCCCGAATCGACGCTGTCCGTCTAATCAGTGATCAACGTGGAGACGGTTAGTGACACCTTTTCGTTCTGATTATCAAAGCTGGAATTCTCATATACCGATGCATCTCTACAGTTACCCGGCAGCGAATCACCGACGATCACTGGGAACTCGTGCGAACCGAAAAGGAAGCCCTAGGCTACGATCGCGAGGCTTATGAGCACAATCTGTCACTTCTCAAAGTCTTCAAGAGCCAGAGCGCCTTCATACCAACTTCCGGAGCCGGCGGGGAGATGATGCTTCTTTTCAGATTGGGTGGACTATTGAGCTCTGCAGAGAAAGTGCAAGAGGTTGCCAGCCTGGATCGTGTACCCGTTGAGCAAGAGGGAATGAGTGAGATGGGTCCCGTCAAGTTTTGTCTGGTGGACAAAGACGCACAGAAGAAACTTGAGGAATGGCTCACGCAGCAGTCCGTCCTCCAGCAATAGCTGCGACTCTGACGGGTTTGTGCGAGGGAGAATTAGTGCTAGTCAGTACTGCAGTCATCTTATCATGACGCTTGGGAACAGCTGTACCATGCGCTCATCAGGTCGCTGAATGCAACACAATCACATCCATCTAAGATCGACTGCGGCTGGAACAGCCACCCCCCTTTTTTTTTTGTTGAGAAAAGAGTCTCAATATCTACCTCCCACGCTGGACAACAGAAACAACGTCGGGGTCAACATTGTCTTAGGATTCTGCCAACTTTGTTTTCCATGCTAACGTAGACTGCAGCGCATCTGTTCAATCACTCCCATGTACAAGGTGCAGCGACCCACTAGTCATCACATAAGAACAGAGCGGATCCGAGAAAATGCAGCGACTGATAGGCTGATGCTCTTTCCGATCAAGTGTTGTGCACCTGCCGGAAGGGGCGTAAAGCCATCTTACCGATGGACAGCCCTCCTCGAGCATGGAATCCTCAAATGAACAGCTACATGCAACGTACATATGCCGACAACAACCAATTCCCAGAATAGCGACATCATCACTAAGCACAGTCTGTGGGCAACTCGGCGAATCAGGATCAGCTCAGCCACGACCACGATACCGCTTACGGTCAACCGCAGCCACAAGCGGCACTTCATCAGCACTGCGGTTCAGCTGTGCTGATGCATCACGGCGCGATCGGCGGAACTATCAATCGACTAATGTTTGGAGCTGGGGGAGCTGAGGCTGCTGATGTAACAACACGGAGATCACCATGAAGATCTCGGTACAAATTGGGAAACCCCCATGTAGTCCAAATTGAAAGCCACACCTACTATCTACATGACTTCCGACATGTTGTAAAAGGAACACTCAAACTTCTTTGTTGCATTCGACAAGTATTCAATGACTGCGCATACATACTATGCCTCGACGCCCCTCACAGGAGCAAGACCTACAACACTTGCTACCATCGACCATGACTTCCTCCAAGTTCTCATCTAATAGACCGATACCTGCGATCACTCTTCAATTGGCTACTGACGACCAAAGCGCACAGTACAGTCAAGCGCTACCACACGGCGATTTCGAGGACCTCAAAGAAGCGGCAAGCGAAGACAGGGTACGCCTTCAACAAAGAAGTGCTGCAAGCGAGCATCAATGGTACTAACATCTACACCAGGACCTCAAAATCCGTATCCGGAGATTACGCGTTATATCGCGCACCCTGGCACTCTTCATCTCTATCGCAGTTCTCGTCCTCACGGCTCTTACCCTGCACAAGTTTCTCAGCACGCGCAGCATCCACCGCATGGTCCGACTACCCAGCGGCGAGAATATCTCACGCACACCCTGGGCGAAAAATACACGGGCATGGCCAACGTACATGTACTTTGGCGTCGCAGCCGTCTCCGTACTACTCAATTTCGCAACGATCTTTTCGTACAAATGTGGGATCGAACAGGCCAATGTAGCCAGTGTTGTCACGAGCACTTTTGGCTGGGTCAATATGCTGGGGAACTTTATTGTGTGGTGTGTAGCCGCTACTGTCTATCGCACCGAGAAGGATAAGAATGGCAAGAGCGATGATCTTTGGGGTTGGACGTGTAGTTCGGGTGCGAGGGCGATTCAGAAAGAGTTCCTGGTTGATATCGACTTTGTCAGCTATTGTAATGTGCAGGTAAGTGGATGATCTGGAGGGTTTTGAAAAGGGGGTTCTCTAACGCAGTGTGCAGAGTGCGAGTTGGTACGTTGGTATTGTGCAGGCCTGTGCTGCATTGCTGACTGTGGTGATATTTGTGCTGGTCTTCAGGAGGAGGAAGACGAAGAAGGCGGTGGAGCAGAGGGTGAAAATGCATGGCCTCGAGCCGAGTAGATGTTGACCGGGAGGACCTCCGCCGCAAAGAAGGCGAACACATAACAACAACGGGTCTCCCACCAGGTACCAGCCTTGCGTACCGTTCAATATCAACCACAGGAGTCTAGGATATGATTCCGTAACCCCAAACGACCGCACTCAGCCATCCTCGGCCCCAAACCCGTCTCCTAAGTCCTGTGCACTCATGGTGTATTCATACCCACCTCATCCACATCTTCTGCAGTCCACGCTAGTCTGTATCACATTCATATAGCGTACCTGCATGCACCGACCTCGCAAACCATTCCCTGAGGTCCCTGCTTACCAAAATAAACGGGACCGTTTCCTAAGAACGGACAACAACATGCGCACTTGATGATTCATGTCCAAGGAACGACCAGCCCAAAAGGTACTAAGCCAGGCTGTAAACAACGCTTGAGATGCATGCGAGTATCCCAGATCGCACGAGGAAAAGCTGGATAAGAAAGGAAGAGGGTGGGAGCATGGGGCAACGACGCGCGAGAGGGGGATGTTTTAAGAACGGAGAGGAACCCGCTGTAACCGGTATCCAGAAACAAAGTACATAATTCATTTATTTACTACAACTGTTACTGAAGTGTGGTGGTGCGAATTATGCTGGTATGTCAGAGAAGAACAGAAGTGACATGAAGATGGTATTGATGAGACTGACAGTACAAGCAGTGCGCACGATCGTTACCAACCTGGCTATGCGCCGCCGTCTTTCTACTCACTGCTGTTACTTCTTCCCAGGAGATGCAAGACGAATGTGATCGAGAATGCTTGCTACGCAGGGTTGAGAAGCTCGAGCAAGAGTATGCGAAACTAGAACACACTTTGGTAAGTCAACGTCAATCTATTCCTAAGGAGTTCATCATGCTGATAGCGGAACAGTTTCCTGGTGGCTACGCTTATTCTTCGTCTACAGCTCAGTCGTACTTCCCAACATCTGCCATCTCTACCGCAACCCCAAGTTCTTCAAGCAAACACTACACCACCATTGGCCCGTCTGGTCTGCCTCAAAGCTCAGCCTCCAGCTTCGTTGTTTCCTCATCATCCATTCTGACATCTGTCGTCTCCACCTCAACCCCGAGCTCATCGAGCAAATACTATGTTAGCTTTAGCACATCCGGTCTATCTCGAAGCTCAGCCTCTACCTTTATTGTCTCCTCATCCATAGTCACAAGCTATGTGACCACGCAGCCCTCAGTCTCCGCGACGCCTTCCTACGCACCACCTCCACCCAAGCCCACAGCAAGCGACACCCCATCAGGACCCACAAACCCCAACATCCCCATCCATCACGGCTACCGTTCAGTAGCCTACTACGGAAACTGGGACATCTACGCCCGAAACTTCCAACCCCAGCAGATACCCGCGGAGCGACTAACGCATCTCCTCTACTCCTTCGCCGACAACAAACCCGACGGCACTGTCTTCCTCACAGACACGTATGCCGACGCGGAAAAGCACTATCCGACCGATTCCTGGAACGACGTGGGCAACAATGTCTATGGATCGATTAAGCAGCTTCAGATCCTCAAGGCCAATAACAGGAACTTGAAGGTGTTGCTGAGTGTAGGTGGTTGGACGTATACAAACACCGCTAAGCATATGAACGGACCGATGGCTACTGCTAAGGGTAGGCAACGCTTTGCGTCGTCTTGTGTTGAGTTGATTCGCGACTATGGCTTTGATGGGATTGATGTGGATTGGGAGTACCCTACAGACAAGGAGCAAGGCAGACAGTTGCTTGCACTATTGAAGGAGATCAGAAGCCTCATGGATGAGTATGCTGATACACTTGTATACGGAGATGAGTCTGGACGCGAGCTGAAGCCCAAGTTCCTGTTGACTATCGCTTCGCCAGCCGGGGAGAAGAACTTCAAACATCTGCCATTAAAAGAGATCAGTGCAGTGACAGACTTTATTAATCTGATGGTAAGTGTTGGCCTCTCTAGATGCATTGGGACATGAACTAACAAGATAGGCATACGACTACGCTGGCTCCTGGGACAATCTGACTGGCCATGCATCGAACCTTTACCCGTCGACCTCGACTCCCCTGAGCACGCCCTTTAATACAGCTTCCGTTCTGGCCGCCTACAGCGCTGCGGGCGTTCCTTCCTCCAAGCTCAATCTTGGCATGCCGCTTTACGGTCGCTCCTTCACCAACACTCGAGGTTTAAATACGTCGTTTAGTGGCATCGGCATTGGATCGTTTGAGCGAGGCGTCTACGACTTCAAGGACTTGCCACTTGCAGGTGCACAGGAGTACTACGATGAAGAGGCTGGCGCAACGTACAGCTACGACGAAGCGAGTGGCGAGTTCGTCAGCTACGATACTGTGGCCATGGCGCTCAAGAAGGTCGACTACATTGAGCAACAGCAGTTGGGTGGCGCAATGTGGTGGGAGATCAGCGGTGACAGGACAGATGACAGCGGGAGCATTGTGACAAATGTGAGTCGTGGGCGCCTGATGGTGGAGACGAGTCGTGCTAACGTATAAAGGTTGTCAAGAAGATGGGCGGCGGGAGTGGTGCAGGCATCGAGTCATCGCCCAATTGGCTGCTGTATCCCGACTCCAAGTTTGACAACATGAGGACTGGCGTGTCGACGCCATAGGTCGCGGGGCGATTACACAGGGGGTGAGTCGTTGGTGCAGGTGCAGCTGTTGGCGAGCATGTCAGTCAGGTGGTGCAAACCTAGAATCGCGTAAGTTATCAACGATCGCCATCGGTACACGTTGAGATGGAGCATTGGTGGCGCGAGCATTCATGCGTTCACATACATGTAGTAATAAAACTTGTCATATACCTTACCCTTGAGATATCTCGCTTATTGCCAAGCTGGAACATCGTCTAGGGGACTAGACCCGCGTGACACAGTTGCAGCAGTGTTTGAGGCTCTGCTACCCTGGGTGTAAGCGGTAGCGCGGAAGCCATGCTGCTTCTGGCGTAGATCATCTTCGATATATTGCCAGTGTCGATATTCTACGCCGCCGTCATACTGCGATCGCCAGCCAGGGTGCTAGAAGAAGAAAAACCAGTTCACGATCAAGTACACGGCGGGGGGGTTGCTGTTGGTGATTGTCGTTGAATTTGTGTGGTGTCTGAGCGCATGAGGGCTAGGATATGCCCGCCGCGCACATATATGCCGCCTGCCGAATGATAAATACAGGAACCGAACGCCCTAGCTCCATTCATGCCGCAAAAAGTAATAGCAGTCGTACGATATAGCACCAAAATGTGCTGGAGGGTATAGCGAATCTATCAGGCACCATAATGTGCTCATTTTACTGCCTCCTGATCTCATCTGGCGAGCAGGTGTCGGCGGGCGGGAGTAAGCGCTGGTAGGATTGCTCGCCGACTATAGTCGACTCCCTGTGATTAAGGAAGGTGCGTATGCGCTCGTCGCGATCTCCACTTGCGCTCAGCGTAGCATTCCTGCTCCGGCTGTACTCCATACTCGCCTCGCGGTGGATTTGGTCGCGCCGCTCTATGACCGAGTTGTTAAAGGTGTTGAACCTGGTGCCCTGCACGACGCCGCCTATGCTTACAAAGGCAAAGATGAGGGCCATGAAGGTAAAGTTGGACATCTGAATCGCGCGGGCGTCCGAGTCCTTGGCGCCGCCGCCGTTCTCGTAGTGCCAGCGCTCCCAGTCCTCCCACGTCGCATTGGTACGCGGATCCGTATTCCAGCGATGTGGATCATAGTGCCAGTCGTTATGACGGGGGGCCATGGGCATCTGGTGGTGACCGGCCCAGCCGTGGCCCCAGGCATCATACGCTTTGCGTTTCTGGACATCAGAGAGGATGTCGTGGGCGGCGACTAGCATGCGATAGCGCTCGAGACGCACGTGGAGGGGCAGCTGGGCGATGGCAGCCTCGGCATGGCAGCGGTCGGGGTGGTAGAGCTTGACGAGGGCATAGAAGCGGTGCTTGGAGTAGGCATCGCCCTTGCGGCACCTGAGGATCTGGTAGGGCGTGGGCGTCTTGTGCGGCTTTACGGCGTCTGGCCACCTGAGCAGCTCTGCGTCGTCGCGGTAGGCGGGCGCGTCCTGGTGTTGGGCGTAGGAGCGCCGTTGTGGTGCGGCCTCAGGACGTGCGAGTCTATGACGGCATGACTGGCCCGGCTGGGGCCCTGCGCAGCTCCCGGCGTGGGAGTAGTAGAGGGGACTGAGGTTAGTGTACGAGGGCAGGAGGATGGAGCACTTCTTGGGCAGCATTGTCGCGCACTGGCAGACGTGGACGGGCGCGCATCTCCAAGCTTCAGGCAGGTGTCAGTGTGGGAGACGGCGTGCTGCGTGTGGGGTGCTGCGTGCTGGTGGCGTCGGCGCATGGGCGATCGCAGCAGCCCGCGGGCGAGATAGACGCGCCGGCGCCATCACTCACCCATCGGTACCTCGCGCTAAGCCGCTTGCGTGCTACATGCGACACTCTGGATGCGAACAGGAGTTGGCCGAGTTGACGATTTTTTCTCGCTGCCTCGCGCGTCGTCGAGTCCTGCCCGACGCGTTTGCGACGGCGCCGTCGTCTCAGCCAGGAAGCCACCATGCAGGTGCGGTCTCTTCCGCTCCCCTCCAGTTGCTCAGACCCGAGGCTGGTGGAGCCTTTTGCTCCGCGACTCAGCCTGTCTGTTTGACGTGAACTCCTTCGCCTCGCTTGCGCATGCCGTGCGAACCTCCCCCTGCAGCGAGACAAACTCTCGGGTCACGACGCATGAAGTCGACCCTGCATCCAGCCAGCCGCCCAATGTCTTTGTCCTCCAAGGTGGGCTAACTGTGTGGGGTCCAGAGGGGGCATCCTGTCTTCTATAACCCGTTTGCTATCACGCCTCTCGTGCTCCTCCTCCCTCCAGCTCCCTCACGCTTCTGCTTCGTACTGTCCTTTCCGCCATTCACTTGCCTATATATCGAGCTACCTTCCATGTTGACCGCCTCCCGCCCCCCGTACCCAACCTCCAGCGCCCTGCACCAAGCCATGACAAACACACACGATAGCAACGGACACCCCAGGGAAGGCTACCTCAACCTAACCCGGCGCATGGAAAACGAAGAGGAAGATCAATTCGACGTCGATCTCACCATCTTGGATTTCCTCGTCTACAAGGCCATTGGCTTGGTCTTTGAGTGGAAATCGAGCAGTGACCCATATCATTCAGATCTGCCCAATGCACTCGTCAACATGACTGCCGGTATGACCTGCGCTCATTACGGCAATACATCACGTGCTCACGAGTATCAGATTGGAGAACATTTCTTGGCCACAGACACCATGGCCGACGCCTAGATGCCAAGGCGTCGTTTCGATCGCGTTTGTTGCAGTTTGCCTTGATCTTCACACATCGGCTGCATCACGACGAGACATGGACCACGGAGGACTCACTGAACAGTCTGCGCGAGCAGAACAAGTGCCGTGGCGAGTACTGGCAGCAACGAACTCAGCACCCTTCTGCGCTCCAGCAACCTTTCGACCAACAGAAGGACTTTCCTCTTTCCGATGGCGCTCTTTACGAAAACCGCTCTGCTCTTGCCTCCGCACTGAGAATGCCTGTTGATCAGCGGAGATGGGTGACCGATGTGGCAGGCACGCCCTCGCTCCACTGTTTACTCCCTGTTTTTATCGAGCTTACCGCCGCACGTGTCAATCTGGATGACGACTGGCTGCCAACGTCTGAATGGTTCGACTTGGCAGCACAGTTTATGCTACAGGCTATCATCGGCGAATATCTTCGTAATGGTGCGTACGGCGATGAAGCTTTCAACACCATCTTCGCCTATGGCTGCCCTGGCGTTGAACGATGGGCGGAAGAACCAGCCGAAGTGGCGGCCATGAGGAGACTATTCTGTGCTGAAGGCAATCTCCGCGAAGAGAACTGCGAGTGGACCAGGATCAAACGTCAATACATCGATGAACTACTCCCACACGGTCGGTCGCAATCAAGTCTACAGGCAATAGAAGCAGCTCAGGAACGCTATCCATACGCCGAGTTCGAAGAGAAGCTACTATCCTTTCTCAAGTATCTCCACGAAGGCCTCGTCAAGCCAGACCTCGCGCAAGTCGAGGAAGGTCGCATCAACATCGATGGCAACGAACTGTCTGAAGCCGAGTCACGAGCAATGATCCAGCGCATGGGGCTTTGATCGACTTTGCGTCCCCAATTTCTTTAATCTCGGGCGAGTTCGGAGGAGTTTCTTCGGCGGCCTGGGTACTTCTTTTCGGTTGTCTAATCTTGTCTTTCTGCATTAGCGTAGGCCGTTTTTGTTCATACGTTTTTTCTTTCTCTCTCCAGTTTGCGAGCTATCCTTCTTCATCATTGATATCACCTGTACCAAAAGTCATGTAGCTTCGCGCGTCTTGTACCATATACCCACATCAGCTACTCAAGTCACCGACACAGGCTTATAGTCGGTGCAATCACACACGTATTTCAACATCTCGATGACTATTCTTTTTTCCCACTACTGCCCATAAAAACTTCTCTTCGGATCCACTGCCACATCCCTAGTGGCCATCCTCAACCCATTGCTCCAAGCACCTTTTGTCATAGTTATGATTTCTGCGCAAACGTCATTGACCATGCTGTATCCCTCTCTCTACCCCTTACAAGACGGACGTCATCGTCACTCTACGGCACAAACATAGTGCCACCAATCACATCTCCGCGTATCGCATCTCCCTACAAATTTCAAATTGATTGAATAGTGGAGTATACGGACCCACGACACGCGCACGCCAGCACCCGACGACGCTTGTACCCGACACTAGTCACATAGGCACGTTGACGGATTAGTGAATTTTGTCATCATTGTAATGGTGTGATTTTGAAGATCAAACACTCAGATCCATTTGGGAGAGGTATAGCCTGTCCTTCAACCTACTCTTACATTACATGTCATCAAACGTAGCGGTGCCCGCCCTAAAAGGCGGAGGTATATGTACAAGAACGAATACAAACTGTAGCTGGAACATCAAACAGCAGAGTAAACAGCAGTGCAACCCCGTCCACATTCCACCTTCTGCTCGAATTCGACTGTGCGGCCATTGACTTTGACCTTGTTCCGTGGTGTGATTTGGAAACGATGCATCTCCTTTTCTCTTAGTTGTTTTCCGAACCCGCCCGCAGACGCAGCGCGCTCTTGCTCGGCAGCTTGGTCAAGTGGTTGGATATATGTCGGCGTGGCTAGGTTGCTCCGCTTGCCACTGCCGATTTGGTAGTATTCGTTGTTACCCCAGAATAAGATGTCGCGACCCCAGTTGGTGTCGTTATCGGTAAGCTTCTTCGATCGGCCTGTCACAGCGACGCTGGCAACGTTGTCGAGGACGGCGGCGGCATGGGTTGAGCCGACTGAGATGGTGGATAGGCGGATCGGGATTGCTATGTTCTTGGCTTCGTCCCACTCGAAGAGGCCAGAGAAGGCGGGAACCTTGACGGGGTCGGCCTGCGTGTGTACCCATCGACCAACACCGAGTTGACCAGTAAGGCCAAACCCAAAGGCCCATGTGTCTGCAGTAGTCCTGTTACCTTTGGTCGCTTCAACGGCAAGGAAAGACGTGTTGCCGCCCGCGAATACGTTTGTCACCTTGCCCAGCTGACCGGAGTATAGCTTTTGTGTTGGGAGTAGAGATGGCGCATCTACGCTTTGCGCTTCAGCGTTGTACGGAAAACCTAGCTGGCCGGACGTGTTGTCGCCAAAAGTAAAAGCTCGTCCTTCGGAATCACAGACTAAGCTGTGGTAGTCACCAGTAGCGATCTTCTTGACGGGGAAGCCTTTCAGTGTAGTGACCTCGTGAGGAATATCAAACGCCCCAGTGGGACGGCTCTCGAATGATAAACCGGGTATACCTAGCTGGCCTTTGCTAGGGAAGTCTTGTGAACCTGATGCGAAGGAGAAGACGCGACCAGAGGAGGTGAGCATGAGCGCGTGCTCTAGCCCAGACGAGATATCTGTGACGCGCTCGCTCCATCCAAGGTTTTCAGGTGTACGGTTGCGATATGAGATGCTGTTGGAGCCGCCCCAGAAAGGGATCCAGGATGTAGATGGCGGCTTTGGGCCTTCCTTCTGCTCCGCCTGTGAAACGGGTATCGAGTATACGGAGCCGCTCTTGGAAAGGCCAATGATGCGGTCGCGGGAGATGGCGAGGGAGGTAAGGTTATGACCCGTCAGAGTCTTCGTAGGCTCCCTTACATCGTTCGCAAAGGCGGTGCCCCATTGCAGAAGATCGCCCTTCTCGTCGATAGCCGCACCGAAGTTTCTGTCGAGCTTGATGTCCCGCAACAACTTTCCGTCGAAGAAGGTCAAGCGTCTTGGTGTCTTGATGTACTTTTCGTCCGAGTCGGGTGCCACGACCTTGCCTGAGTTGGAACCCCATGTGTAGACGCCAGGGTTCTCCCAACTCTTGATCACTTGGAGATGCTGTGAGCTGATGATATTTCTGTTGTCGTCGACCGATGTTGCCTGCCGCCGTGGCGCTTCAAACTTCAGCTCTGGTTCCTCTTGTTCCTCGGCGTGCGCATCTCGTAGGATCGAATCCCCATTGCACCATTGATATGCTGTGGCGGTAGCCCAGAGCACGCCGACGGTGGCTATGGATCGGACGAAATGTTGCTGTCGTCGTTGTGCATACGGATGGGATGCCGTCCGGACGTGTGATTGCGGGGGTCTGGTCGCTATGCTCCTACATACTCGCGGGGTATGAGGCGTTCGGAGGGTCGCGCGTGCCACACACTTTGTGCTGAGCATAGTGTAGTATATGGGGTCGGTGGGCTCGTAGTAGCAGGTGTCGTCCCGTGGGCGTCTGGATAGATCAAGAGAGCAACATTTGCAGCACGATCGAAGGTCCGATTACGGTTGGAGCATTGGTAATTGGACAGCCCGGATAGTTTCTCCAAATCGTAGCTGCGTGATCAATGACGCTCTAGACTTGCTCCACATTGACAGATGAGTCTAGCGCTAATTGGGCCTAGCGCCAGCTGCTGGACCCCCACGAGCATCACCGAGCTCCGACATGTGGAAGCTGGCGTCGTCGTGTTTCCTGTCTCCATACAACAACCCTACCAACCGCCGAATCGCGCCAGAATGTACGAGGCAGACTCGTGGTACACTGCCTTTGTGCCGCGTACCGCCAAGCCCCAGGAAAAGGGCAAGCACCGCCGCAGAGAGAGCCTGCTCAAACAGGAGAACGTAAGCCCACCATCCGCTGCCTGGGTACGTTTGAGCACTTCTGATGATTGTACTTGCAGGAGAGTCAGGCTGACTTCGAGCGTGCAGAAGCCATCGCGGAAACGGCAGAAGACGATCGGCCCGGCAAGCTCAATGGCCCTCCACCGGCCACCGTGGCCAGACGCGCCAAGTCGTACAGCGACTTCTACACGGTCGTGCGGGCCCATCTGAAGAAGGAAAAGGCACTCGAGAAGAAGAAGTCACGTGAGGATATCAGCACCGAGCTGGAGTTTGCCGACTGGTATGGCGGCGTCAGCGACGAGCTGCTCGAAGCCAGCCACGAGGAGTACAGGCTCTACCAGAACCAACTACACATAACGCGCAACCACCTCGAGAACATCATCTCCGACACGACCTCGACCCTCGATATTCTCTCCTCCCTCTCCGAATCCTTCAAGATCGTCGAAGCCCAGACAAACGCCTTCCGTACACAATGCGAAGGCCTCATCGACGACCAGAAGCGTATTACGAAGCTCGCAGACGATATGGAGCAGAATCTACGATACTACCTCTACCTCGAACCTACCACCAAACGTCTCAATGCTCCGGGAGCAGGAAAGATTGTGCGGGGTAAAGAGTTTGTGGAGATGCTGGCCAACCTAGATAGCTGCCTCGAATACATGCAGGCGCATTCCAAACATCGCGAAGCCGAAACGTACCGATCCAGATACCGACTGCTCCTTACCCGTGCCCTCACACTCATCCGCGTCCACTTCACCGAAGCGCTTCGCGAAATTGCAGCCGATGTGTCGAAGCGGATAGCGGATAGACAATTGAATGACACCACCATGTCTGCGCTGCTGTACGCCAAATTCCGCGTCGGCGCGCCAGAGTTGAAGAACATAGGCATTGAGATACAAAAGCGGGCAGTACTGCCAGCTGGAGCAGCGCCAGGCGGAGAAGCCGAATACCAAAGTCTGATGAACGAGCTGTACCAGAGCTACTCAGCCACCCGTGGCCGACTCATACTTCCCATCGTTACGAAGAAGATCGGAGAGATCGCACAAGCTCCGAGCACATCGACGGATCTCGTAGCCTTTGCGCGAAGCAGCATAAGCTACATACGTGGCATATGTTTCGACGAGTGCGACCTATGGCGAGAGTGGTTTGAGGGTGACGGCGGATTGTACGACTTCCTCGAAGCTGTATGCGAGCCTCTATACGACCATCTGCGACCGCGCACCATCCACGAGACGCAGATACTCAAGCTGTGCGAACTCTGCACACTGATACAGACACGATACATGGAGGAGGAAGAGGAGGAGTCGCCAGTCGAGGCGAACAAGCTGGACTTTTCTGTCATTGTACACCCTGCACTGCAAGATGCGCAAAACAGATTGGTTTTCCTGTCGCTTGCGATCCTGCGAGACGACATAGAGAGATACAAGCCTAAACCAGAAGATCTCGACTACCCAGCAAAGAACAAGAAGCACGCCACTTCCGGGACAAAGTCAAACCAACCCGTCTTGTCTGGCAAGAAGCAACCCAAGTCCGAGGTCCCGCCAACTCCTTTGATGCCAAAGACGCCCACAATAGTCGAAGACGACGATCCAGATGCGCGGTGGAACTTCAATACCGAAGCCGCCTTCAAAGACTGGTACCCTACATTGCGCAAAGCGATCTGGTTGCTCAGCAAAATTTACAGGCTCGTTCATGTAAGTCTTTGAACGCTCGCATACCCTAATCATCATGCTAATGTGCTCCTAGTCCTCTGTATTCGATGACCTGGCTCATCACATCGTCCACAGCACCACACTTTCTCTCGCTCAAGCTAGCACGTTGCTTGCCAAATCTGCTTCGCCCACCGACGCCGCCCTCTTCCTCGTATCGCACCTCCTTCTCCTCAAACAACAAATTGTAGCTTTCGACATCGAGTTCGTCACGCCGGAAACTGAAGTCCAGTACAACTTCTCGAGTGTCACGAATACTTTCTGGGAGCTGCGTGCTCGGGGCGGCCTCTTCAACCCGCGGAATCTCGTCGGGCTTTTGATACCCAAAGTCGTAGAGAACATGCTGGACGCCAAAGCTGAAGTGGACGCCCGCCTGCGCCAAGCAATTAATGACTTTACTGGTCAATTCGTCGCCAGAATGACGGCACCGATCGACACGAAGAATAACAAGAAGGTGCCTCCGAGTGAAGCTCCTGCGCGCACGAGCAAGATCCGGCAGAACATCGAGCACGAGACGCCGTTCTTGAGATCGAAGCTGGAAGAATATATCACCGACGCCCGTACACGCGAAATGCTAGTAGCAGCTGTCATGGAATCAGTCACCCAAGCATACGAAGACTGGTACGACACGTCATATTCACCATCTCTTTCCAACCAAAACGGAGCCAGCAGGAGCGCTAAAGGCAAAGGAAGAGAAGACGGAGTCTGGGATCCGGATGTGTTTAGCGAGTGGTGCGGCAACACGTTCAAAGTTGGCACGTTAGGACTGGGCAGCATGTATGATGAGCAAGAGGACTACCAAGATGGAGATGATAGCGATGCAGACAGTATGGGTGCCACCAGCGGGAGATCAGGCACAGAAAGGACTGGAAACACGGGTTTGAGGATCAAGATGTGATAGCTCCCCTGTAAGCTGGATAAAATATGGAAATATCTATGGATGCTGGTCTATGGTTGAAGTACCCTCACCATGCGACGGGACAGAAATCTACCATGACTTCCCTCCCACAGTCAATTTCCGTCAACATGGGTGTCTTCTCTTCTTCCGTCTCCTCAATAACACCCACCCCCGTTTCTACTTCACTCTCCGATTCTAGTTGTTCCCTCTTCCACGCATTCCGCTTCTTCTGCCTCGCTTTTTGCCGTCGCAGTGCGTTTTTGTCGCGGCGTTCAATCACATCACTCTCATCGCCTTCCTACTAGAATTGATCAACATCATCATCACCACCACCACCACCACCACCACCACCATCATCATCACTTTGAAAAGGCTAAAGGCAGGAACTTACCGAGCTGGTCTGGTCAAAATCCGTCGTCGATGCGCAGAGTGAGTCGTAGATTGAGGTTGTGCTCGATACAGAGGGTTGCTTCACCGGGGGGTATTTGGCTTCGTCTTCGGTGTCGCTGGCTATTTCTGTTGCGATTTCGGAGGTGGTGGTGGAAGACGAGATGGACCCGGAACCAGTGGACTTTAGATGTCAGTATTGTAGGGAGAGCGATGGGGCTGGGGGATCCTTATTGGCGGCTTACTGAGTAACCATCTTCACTCGGATACCATCTTGCCCCTCCCCTTCGCTTTCGCTCTTGTGCAAGTCTCTTCCTCGTTTGTTCATTCAGTTCCTGCTGTTTTCTCGGTAACACGTCGTCGTCCTTCTTTGTTCCTAGCCTCGCGCCTTTGCACACCTGTCTCCCTTCTCCATGCTTTCGTCTGGTCTGAGGCTGTCGCCCCTCACACTCATCGCCGCTCCTACTGCTAAGGCTTTCGTGCGCCCTTGTGACTGTCCCACCACATTGCTTCTCAAAGCTTTCTGCTACGTCGAGGACTGACTTCATCGATGCTTGTGCGGCGTTGTATGCTTTGCCCGAAAGACCAGAGACAGAGAGTTGGAAGGCCATGTACGGGCGTAGAAGGTGAAGAGGCGAGTTGATAGAGCGTAGCTTTGTGTGTAATCGTGTTTCGATGTCACTCTCTGAACTCTCTGACTCACTGTCAGACTGGGTACGACTCGCTTCGTTCCTATCAGGCAAAGTCTTGGACCGCGTGAGACGAGTGGCGGAAGCAGGTGCAGAGAATTTATGTTTCTTCGCTATAGAAAACTTCGGTGTCATTTCCTGAGCTCCTCTCTTTGGTGATATCCTTGTATCGTTTGTCTCTGTTGTGTCTTCCTCTTCTTGCTTGATTTTCACGTTGATGTCTTCTACGTCGATGTTGCGCAAGTCATCTCTCTTACCCTTGTCATATTCCACGGATATTGTCGATGCACGCAGTGACTCGACTGTAGACCCACGTCCCGAAGTCACTCTGGTGATGGTGTTGCGAGAGGGGGGTCTAGGACGCGCTTTGCAGGCTCGGGTTCGTGCCATGATGGGACTTTGAGTGATCTATTGAGAAAACATTGGGGGTTGTTCAGATAAGTAGACACGTGTTTTCCTTAAACTATTTCAACTGAGAAGATGGCATCGACCAAGTGAGGTAATGAGTCCTGAAAACGAGCTGCAAGGCAATTGTTTGTCTATATTGCAAATGTGCAACACAGAAAGAACGTCAAAGAAGTGACGAGGACAGCTTGACGACAATTTGAAGCAACGTTCATTCCTAGCAAACTTTTGGTCTCACATGTTGTCCCTAGGTAAACAATTCTGTAAAAATGCACTGTCGCTGATCCGACGCGGAGGAGTATAGAATTGTAACACAATAGAAATATCATTACTGTAGTAGTGTAGAATGCGTAGGGCACGTATAAAAGACTGAAACCAAAACACCGATGCCATGCAGAAAGGAAGTCAACTATGTAATGCGAAAACAACGACCGTGCAGAAAGAGACCATCTTTAGCATGAAATGCAATCGCCACGCTGCCCATGCTACATGCAGCTGATTCCACCAAGTGCTCACAGAGGCACAATCGAGCCACCCTGAGAAGCAAGCGGGTCAACAGAAGGCTGTTTGGTGACGGTATTGACCGCATTCTCTTTGTACTTTGCAAGCGTCTTGTCGGAGTTGAAGTTCTGGTTGATAACACCGCTCATGCCTTTCTGGCAGTGATTGCCATTCGTCTGAGAGCAGTAGTACCAGATGGGGTTCCTGTCCTGCACTGTGAAGGTGAAGACGTTTGGTGCTTCACCTGCGGTGGTGTTGAAGTTGAAGCCAGAGAAGATGGAGTTGTCGCCGCCAAGAGGCTCGCATGGCTTGTCGAACGAGGACTGCACGAAGGTGTGCGCCTTGGGGAGGAAGTGGAACTCCATGAGATCGCCAGGTTCTGCGACTACGTTTTCAGGCTCGAAATGTAGGCCACCGTTGGCGGTTGTGGATCCGGCGAAGACGCGGTGGACTACTCCGGTTGGCCGGACTGGATGCGCTGGTACGGCGGCTGTGAGACCGAGAAGAGAAGCGGCGGTCAAGGCGATAGATGTGAAGGCAACCATGTTGTCTAATGAGTTTGTGTGTTGATATTGCGGGAGTGGTGACCTGGCAAGGTAGCGATTAATGCGGTGATGACGAAGAAGAAGTAGCAACGAGCTATGAGATGCTATCGACGATATTAGGAGTGTAGATGCTGTGAAGCGAGAGAAGAGACGTTGAAGATGTGATGTTAATATAGTGATGAAGATGCTGTGAAGTAGATGATGTGTTGATGATGAGATGAACTTGACTGAGAAGAAGTTCTTTAGATATGTACTCGTCTGGCGAGAGTGATCACAAATCAGAAGTTGCTGATGTTCTACACATAGCCATCGGATGGCGACACTGCCGTCTGATGGTAAGCTCTATCCTCTTACTGTGCAGTGTCGCCTCGGTGGTCAGCCCTGCCTCAGGCCCTTTACACGACCAGATTGCGGAGAATAGTATAGCAGGATACTAAGAATGACAAGTCGCATCTCGCAAAGGCCATTTCGGATACACGACGTTCCAGTGATTGCTAAACACAGCCATTAAGCGTTTAGCAACCCTGCCACTGCGGCTGAAATAGCTGACCCAGGGCGTGGCTTAGCTCCACTACAAGAAAGCCACAAACTGGCAAATCGTCAGCAATTTACTACTAGGCTTCGACTAAGTTCACTGTAGAGATAATTCCGGGCGTTAGCCACGACATTCGCTGCACCTCTTAGTGTTGGTTGATGCTCATTGAACATGTTTCGCATGCGCCTTCGCGACAGTGACCTACGTGTCGACACCCAACAGGAAAGGACGGGGGAGAAACCGCACGGGTCCAATAGATGAGTACTGTGCCACATTATGAAACCCCTCCCGATCGCTAGATGGTCTTGGTATTGTTTGTAATTGTTGGCTATTTTCGGCCTCGAGGGAGCGCTTATAGATCTTGGAGGGCCTGCCCTTTCGATAACCAGGTAGGTACAGGCCGAGACACCTCGTCGCCACTCAAGGCCTCATTTCGGATCCCTGAACAGGATCGCTTGTAGGCTATGATTTCCAGCACTCATTGCGCAATACCAAAGGTCGTGGCTGGTGATGTTGCGAGGAACTTCGCCGAACGGTCGTGCTGGAGTTGGCCACGCGGCGCACGCGAAAGCGGACCTCAGGGAAGCTATCTGGCGCCGCCCAACGGCCGCGCACGAGGCTCGTACCAACAATACCACCACCAGTACTGACGCATCTGCACGTCTTCATTTATTTCTTAGTAATCGATCTTATCCCAGGCCCGCGCAAAACACTTTCAGAATACTAGAGCGATTGCCTAGTAGATGCGCGAATCCTGCGTCCATGGATGATCTGTGGAGGCCGCTAGCTATAGGTAGCGAGCTCTCGTCAAGAAACACGGTGAAGTCTTAGTCGAACTCGTGAAGGCGGGGCTGATCTCGTCAAGACGGTGGTGAGTGGTGGTATATCTTTTCTTTGGCGCGAAAAAGGATATGAAGACGGCGGTGAGGAGCAGATATGGTAGTGGACCTGGCGGTCAAGAGTCTTGTTAATACATCCTTGGGATGACCTGGACCGAAAAAGCAGCAAAGCCGCGGTGCGAGGTTCCACACCACCACCACTTTGCAGTGGTGTGCGGAGAGAGAATTGCTTTGCCAGGTCTTGCATTACAGTAAGAATGAAAGCGTCAAGCGAAAATGAGGTGGTTCGAATATTTCATTATTTTCTTCTTTCACGAAGAACGCCGATACATGCTAGCTCGTGACTGCGGAAAATATCCAAAGAAAACATGCTCTATCAAAGACAACACGCTTACATGCAAGCAGCGCCGTCAATGCCAATGACCTTTCCGTTAACCCAGTCACCGTCTTGGGAAGCAAGGAAGCAGACGACGCGGGCGATGTCTACTGGCTGACCAACACGGTTGTGAGGGGACCATGTGCAGGCGTATTCGTCGACTTGGTCGTCGCTGAGCTTGTCACCATCGGGAATGTACTCGCGGCAGACGGCGTGGTACATGTCGGTCTTGATGCCACCGGGTGCAACACAGTTAACGGTGATTCTCTTCTCGCCGGCGTCTAGATTTTGTCAGTAGATGAAGTGGAAGTGAGCATGATGTGACTTACCGATAGCCATGCACCTGGTGAATGTCTCAATGGCACCCTTTGAGCCAGAGTAGACAGCGTGCTTAGGTACGCCCTTGGCCTGACCAGTAATGGATCCCATAAGGATGATGCGACCACCCATCTCCATCCTCTTGTAAGCCGCCTTAGCGACGAAGAACTGGCCACGGGTGTTGATGGTGAAGACACGGTCGAACTCCTCGGGTGTGACGTCCTTGAAGTGACCGAAAGAGACAACACCTGAGTTGGAGCAGCAGATGTCGAGCTTGCCGAAGTGGGCAACAACGTCGTCCATCAGCTTCTCAGACTCCTCGACGTTGCCAACGTTGGCCTTGAAGGCAGCGGCGTCTGAACCATTGCCGAGGGCCTTGATCTCCTTGACGACTGCCTCAGCACCCTCGACGGCGTTAGCGTAGTTGACGGCAACCTTTGCGCCACGCTTTGCAAGCTCAATAGCCATCGCCTTTCCGATACCACGGCCTTCATAATTGTTAACATAGGAGGTGGAGTTTTGTTGTGATTAAGCTTACCTGAGCCGGTAACAACGGCGACCTTGCCAGCAAGGCTCCATGTCTGCTCGATTGAGGCCATTGTGAGATGTCGAGATGGTTGTGTATTGGGGTGTTGAGTTGGGGAGTGGGAAGGTGTTCGTAGTAGTGATGAGAGTGGTTGTGATGATGATAATTCCCTTCCACGGTCAAGACGAGTACATATATACCCTTTCGCTATTCGGAACGCCAGCGGAGACCGCGTTCAGTGAGTAGCTCTTTTCCATCTACTCCACCACCGGTATCCCAACATCCATACCACTCCCCCAACTCGAAGCGTCCGGTTCGGCACTCAGCATCGCCCCCAGGAGTCGTGAGTCCTAGGGCTGAAACTGTGTACCTGCGCCGCATCTGTCCCGTAGCGTGGTCCCCGTCCCCGTAGGAGAGCCTGAGCCTCAGGGACAGACCGTCGGACAGAGGGGCCGAAGAGGCCAGGAGCGCTTGCGATTGGACAATCTTCACGAGCTGCCAGGGCCGGCCGAGCAACACCAAACTTCCAGCGCCTCTCGTGCAGCACGCACCCGTTTCACGAGATCGAAACATCTTTTTTTGTCGACCGCGAGTAATGCTGGCATCTCATTGAGTTCTGCTGGTGAAGCACCAGGTATGACGCTGCGAAAGATTGGCGTTTGACAGTGGGAACGAATCGCGAGGCTGATGCGACGCCGGCGGCATCGAAACATCTATTTTCGCATACTCGGATGTCCACCATCAACAGAGAGTCTCCGCTGAGAGCCCGTTGCTTCGCGTTGTGACGCGAGCAGATTCGAATGTCGCTGCGACGACTCGGTCCGTCGTAAGCCCCAGGGCCGTAGGGGTCTGACGATCCGATACGGTCATGTGACGTGCTGAAGTAAACTTCGGACCCCTTTGAACGGTTTAGCCTGAACCCGCTCAGGGTTCGGCAGGACCTCGACGCTTCTCAGCACCCCGTGTACTGGAACCTCAATGGCTCCCCATACACCAACGGTCATCATGACTCCCTGAGTACCGTGAAGTCCGGACTCGACCCGGTAAATGGAAGTGTGTTACAAGTCGGCCAAGCGTGGCCAGGTGTCGCAATCAGAAATGGGTGCTGCCGGCTTCTACAGCGGGGATCCGTCGACGTAACGTCCGTGCGTTTCTTTCACTTCACTTCATCTTTCAATTGTCGTACCGTCGGGATGGATGGAGTGTTCCAAACGGTGGACAGCGAGCCGTGAGCGTTCTCATCTCGAGTACGATTTGTTCAAGATAAGGATCCTGTGCACAGATTAATAAAGAGTCCATATACGAGCGACCAGAACCGAGCACGTACACCGACGATGCATGCCAGTCTTTATCCAGATTACATACCTGTACCAAGAGCACAAAGCAGCTGCGCATCTGCGTGCGAGCTTTCCAATCCTCTGAATAACCTGTTCTGGAAACAGGGAGTATCTTCACCGGCCATGTTGTGTCTTATCAACGGCATCCGTTGACCCAGAGTTGCAAACCGATATGCGTCTCCACCATAACGCATCGGCCTTTTCGTTCCCAGAACGGCTCGCCTTCAAGCGATAGTATTTGATCGCGGTGCCGATACATCCAGCGCTGACGAATCTTTCGGATGCTCTTCGTGTGGCGCTTCTTTTCTCACAGTACTAGCGGCAGGGATGACCCGATAAAGCCACATGAGGTGGACTGCCACTCTCTATAAGGCCACTGGGGATGCAAGCGGCTTGGAAGAGTTCTCTTCTTTGAGAAGGCCACGCGTATAGACGCCCAGGGTGGATGCTTTCGCGTCATGCCATCAGCGCGGCAGGACGTAGCGGATAACCCTATGTCAGAAATGCATCATCCGTCAAGGGCTATGTGGTCGTGGAAGCTACCTGACTACCAATTAGAAGACTTGCGACCTGATTGTCCAGACATATTGAAACACATCAACACCGCACGAATCACGTACCTTCCCGGTCTGAGTACGAGGTGGTGTAGTCGTCTCAAAGAGCTCTTTTGTGGAGTTGTCAGAGCTATACCTGAATCGATGCGTTTCCCCCTCATTCCGTTTCCCGTCAAAGACATAGCGGTGAAAGAGGCTGGTGTTGGGCGCTTCACGCGTCAGTCTGCCAGATCGCCCTATGCTAATGCATCTTTCCACGGGACAGCCATGGCATCCATTATCGAACTTCGCATTCGCTCTCATATGTCATCTGACGATATGCTCGTTGTCGTGTCTCCGTGCTCGTTTTTGTGCTTACTATTACAACAATGTTGCAACTAACTGAAGACCTCGAGTGATGCACGATCTGGGGAATAGATATGTGAAAGTACTTGTACAGCAATAGTAGCACAACGAAGCCTCCCCTGCCACAAACCGTTCGGATACTACCCAACAAGTCCCCGATGCTTAACTCAAGTTCGGCTGGCATACGGAAGTGCAGTGATCGGCACTGGGCGTATCTTCGATCAGGATAGTGTGTCCAGATTATCACACCCATCACCACCTCTTGATAGGATGAAAGCCGCGAACGGCGACGAAAATCTCCGACACACCGACCGTTAGATGGAACTCACGAGGGGTCATTCGCAAGTTCACCATCCTCTAAGGAGTGATACACACCAAAGCCCGATGGCACGGGCCAGGTACATCCTGACAGCTACGGCTGTCGTGCGGGCACCCGTAGGCTTGGCAAGATCTTCGTATTAGACATGCAGATTAGAGCGAAACCACTGCTCGGGGTACGTGGATGTTGGAAATGGTCCTTCATGTCGTAGGTTATTGTGATGTGTAACAATGTCCGCTTGGAACCGAAGGATCCTAACCGCTCTTGTGTGCTCGAACAGCCAGTCATCTTGATTAGAGCTGCATATGCTACCTCCCTACTCGAGTAGCCACGCTGAACGCGTAAGCTTGTCAAGCAATGAGCCTGCATGAAGACGTCTTGGTACCGGCTTTCTGTCACTGTGATACGGAAGCATACTGCATATACCCATCCTTCGACTTAACGGCCAGAAGAAATCTGGCTAGTAACTTCGTCGGGTAGAGGCTTCCATTCTCCGACCGCATTGAGGACTAGGGAAGTCCAAATGAGGCGGCGATCGTAAGAATGCGTTACCGTTTGTTCGGAAGCGATGATGGATTTCGATGCATCAGCACGGTTACTGGGGGTGAATCAGACATAGTACGATCTGGATAAAGCGGCACTATCATAGTGCGACGAAGTCCTTGCATAACGTCCGCGGAAAGAGGAGAGGCGACGGGGCTATGTGGGAGAGGTTGAGGTACGTGCCTCAATACACACGCTTACATTCTCCACGGTGTTACCAATACTGATGGAAGCATATTGCAGACACAGTACTACTCCAGTCAACTTGAGACGTCCAAACATGACACACTGGCTCATTTGACTTCCTTCGACCAACTCACCACTACGAACTCAACCCTTCTGCTACCCTCGCACCTTCACATGTAACGAGTCCCAATCCTCGTAGAGCCATTCTGTTTCACCCCACACACGGTTCGAAGAAACCCCGCCGCCGTAGTGCCGCCCTTACACACACACACACACACACACACTCACACCATTCGCACTCTTAGCCGACCCCGCCATCAAGCCTCCAATCTCGAAAGACACCAATTACCTACGCAATCCGACCCATGCCCTGCTTACTCTTGAAACACATGCGCGGCTTAGGAGAAAAACGAAGCTATCAAGAACCCGCAGATAGTGATGACGGAGGGGCTACACGGTAGTAGTAAGGGACATACGTGTTGCACACCAGCCGTTACGCATACACTTATGACACCTTCGACCATCGTGTCACAGAAGAGCCCCGCATCCACCATCACGACATGAGGAGATTTCATCTCAAGCTGAGAGCCTCCTGCGAATGAAGGTGGTCAGTGTACTCTCACTGGCAATTTGACCAAGCAGACACCCACCGTTGCTTACGACCAGCTAGCCGAGGGTTAGCTGAAAGCGCTTCACACTCATCATCAACAACAACAACAACAACATCAGTCCACTGAAGTGTACAGGTTTGCTATTCCCTTAGTCGGTTGGTGCTATTTGATCATCATGTCTATGTACTATACATTATGGACCGCATTGCAGTCGGTTCCGATGACCTCATTCCAGGCACGAAGCACCTCGGTGACCGAGACGGACATCACTCGACCCCGATGCTGTGTCTATGCCCTTGAACGCCAACCAACGCTTGGAACCTCGCGTATATCCTTCTCAAGCATCCTGAGATGACGATGCCGATGAAAGTCACCCGAAAGAGATGGAATGAGATAAGAAACAATAAGACGGACAACGCCGAAACACCCGCTAAAACATCATGAGCTCGTGGTGGTACGGTAGAGGGCAGAGAGAAGAAAAGAGATGGAAGTGGGAGGTTATCCTCGCGCGAGTTTCTCGAGTTTACTACGAATACCATCCGAGAACCTGGTGGCGACACCCTCATCGAGGACGTCGATACAATGCGACAGGATCGCGAAGCCGTTATCCAAGGGAACGTGTGTACCGTCGCGCTTGGTCAGAGTGGGTATGCCCTCCCTGCGAGACATGTACCTCAGTATGGTAGGGTGGTCAGAAGGAAGGCGATCCACAGAGAAAGCGGAGTTCGATGGCTGATACGATCCTTGGTGGTTGGGACTCAAGGACTCGCCATGGGCCAGCGAATCCGTCCAGAAGACCAACCCTGCGCGGTAGACAGCGCCAGCCCACCACGGCGGCCTGATCCCTCGCGGCATCTCACGGATAAGTCGAAGGACCTGACCGGCGTGGGTGATGGCTTCCTGCACATCGGACAAACACTTCTTGTGCATCCACAGCATCTGCTGGTAGGAGCCGTCCACGCCCTCTCGACGCGCTAGGCGCTCTATCTCTGGGAAGTTGGACACTGCGTTCAGGCTGATAAGGTGGAACATTACAAGGTTGGCCTGCATCATCGGACACACTGGGTTGGACTTCATGTACCGTTGCGCCAAATCGAACCAACGCCCAAGTAACGCCTGCACCTCCTCGAGGCGCACGCGAGTCGACGCTGCCGTGAGTGCACGATTTCGCGAACGTGAAGCGACGCTATCTGAAAAGCAGCTGAGGAGTTGGCAATACTGACAGACCAAAGTCTGCAGAGGGTGGAGGAGCAGACGCAGGTGCATAGGGGTCAGATGGATCTCCTGCACATCCTGGACGACTATCTCGTCGTCTAGGAAGTAACGGAAGAGATCTCGGAGACTGGGTGGTCTGGCTCCAGAGCCTACCGAAGAGTACCCGTTCG